AGCTGACACCGATCTCGGGCAACCTCTACCCGCAAGACTGCGGTCGTTTTTCGTTAACGCTTCGCCGGTTTATCCGTCGGAATCTTTTCACTGGATTAATTTCTCCTGTCGCCCGCGACAAAAATCGACGGTCCTTTCCTGTTTTTCTGCATCGAATGAAACCGCACCTTGGGGTACCGTAATGCAAACGGGGGATGGCAAGTGGCTTCTGACGCGGGGCAATGACAGACTGGATTACTAGATGATGGTCTGGGGCTTTGGACAGTTACATTAACGTGCATAATGATTTACACAGAAGTAACCGCCCACCCTATAGTATAATTCCCTTTCATATAGAGGGTGGTACAGGTAACGTGACCACCTCGATTACTTGTAATTTATTGCCTGTATCAAGAAATATTTTAACCCTCTATACCAGCGTTTCTCAAACTGTGGTACATGTACCAATAATGGTATATCCTGTTATTTTTGGTGGTACAATTTTTACATAAAATATTTTGAATCTTTTTGTTGAAAAATATTACTTATTTATTTGACAATAATAAAGTAATATTAAACATGCTCAATGAAACTGGCTCATCCTTTGCATTAATCCTGTCCAATAATACATTTCCTTAATATTTGCTCATGTATTATTACTCACCATTTACTATATTTTATTATAATGTAAAAGTTTCATTTGCGAATATAATTAAAGAAAATAAATTTTAAATGTTTTATACTTTGATTATAAACACTCCACTTGGGATGTATTGATTTTTAATCGTGAAATGCTTTTATGGTGGTACTTGAACGGCTCATATAACGGTCATCTTCAGTTTTTTTTAATAGAATGCTCAATATTTCTTCCTTCGGCGACTGGCGTTGTTTAAAAAAATTGTACTTTTAAAAAGCGCACACTCGAATTGTTGCACGATATCAAGCCTGGTTACTCTTTCAAATCCACATGGGACACCACAGCACACACACACACACACAGGTTAAACCCTAAGTGTACTACTTTAAACTAAACTAATACTCAGTATAAAAAATTAAATCAATATTGCAAGGAACCCAGATACTCGTTTTCGTGGGCTACTTCGCATTGATTAGATGTATTCGCGTTGACGACTGCCATTGAACTAAGGGAACGTTACTTGAATTACGTGCAATAGATAGAAGAGTAATAAAACTGTGTAAATAGTATAGTACAACAATAGAGGTGGTTGCCAACAAACAAGACACCTTAAGGACAAGTGAAACAGAAAATAGGGGTAGATGTGACACGGCGTGTTTACGTCCCTAACACTCGCGAATGACCTGCATATTCAAATTGTTGGAAGGGAAAGGTATATGTACAGTGGGTCAAAAAAGTATTCGCACGCCTTTTAAAACCAAACAACTTTTTCAAAATTGCACTGAGTGACTTGAGATTTCTTTATGACAAACTTTTGAAAATATGTTAATTTGTAAATTATCTAAATTCTTCACTCTCATATTGCAATAGAAATTGTAAAAAATCAGAGGAAGTCTATTATAACATTTTTATCATCGTTATAAAAGTATACTAACCAGATATTTCGACTGTTGTGGTAGTTCTAGTGTTAATGTCCCCTACGATATAATGGAAAAAAACTTATATACAGTAAAGGCTCTATGAGAGTTGGATAGGAATTTCCTCGTGAGAGTTTCTACCTCATTCCTTTACAGGGGGTGAGAGAGGCTGTGGAACCTGTCAAGCGCATAATTCATTGCTTCCCATCCCCGCTTTTGTTGCTGAGGCTGGGGCTTTGGAAGAAAAAAATAGATTTGTGAGGTGTTCAAACGATTCGCGATGCAGTGTGAAAGTTTTGAAGCGGTTCCGAGCTTTAAACTCTCACTGCAAAGTACTTCACTGTATTTCTATTCAAAAGAAGTCAAGGTGACCTTGGGTTCAATATGAAAAAAAATGTATTTTTAAAACGTTTATTACCATTATATGTTGCCCACTTCACACAAATAAATTTAAGGAACAACTTCTTGTATTATACTGTCATAAGCAGCTGAAAAGTCTAGTGGGTTATTTAAATAAACACCCTGTATAGTGTAATGAGATATCAATATTTCCTTGGATATTTTTTGGTCACAGGAAAGTAGATTCGCTGGTTGATGGAAGGAGAATTACGGACAGACATGCAATTACATGTCGAATCCCCGTATAAACGTTATCAAGCTCACGTGGACGACGCGAGTGGCATCTTCGGGGACTTCTTCATTAACGCGAGAGCGGCGCGGTTCGTTGTCGAGGCCGATGGCTGATCGGCTTAACGATACCCCAGTGATTTGCGAGAACTATTAGCGGCACAAGCTCGACGTTGCTCTCTGTTCAATTCGAAATCAATTAGTCGAGCTTCCGTAGCCTGGCATAAATACGAAATGATTTGTGACGGAATCAACGTGGACATGCGTGATCAGTTCGCCGATGATAAAAACAGTGAACGATTTGAATAGAACGTTAATTAAACGACACAGGACATGTCGTCTACGTTAATTTAAAACAGTGATTTAGTGTAGTCGGAAATGGAGGGGTTTAAATTCATTTTTTCTTTGATTGTCAATGCACAATTTTTGGAAGATTTGTTGTCGAGATTATAATGGGACATAATATAAAAAAGAAAAAGGAATTCATTTTATTATTGTTCTTATAACGTTGTGAGTAGGAAATGAAGCGTGTTTACATTTCTATATGTTTTATTGCACTGAGTCATAAATAATTTCCACCGTGAACATTGAAACGTGAATAGATAATAATTAAAGGGGGATAATAATACAAATATTTAAATTATACAAGAATTACTACCTTTAATAATATCTGAGAATGTGTAATAAATTAGCGTTGACTCTAACTAAAGCATCTTTGATCACTATAAGTGGAAACAAGAAAAAAGGAAAGTAACAAAAACAGTTTGTAACTCAATCGAAATAATGTACGTACTATTTCAAGTAATTTCATCTTCTGAAAGAATCGTATATAAATAATGAGATACACGAACTAACTATGTTTCGAGTACAACTGCACAATGAATGTTATAAATCTGAGAAACGTGAAGCACTTTTTAATCTATTGAAAAAGTAGTGTATATTTTACTCAGTCACATTTTAAAGAATCAATCGAACTTATAAAAAGCAAATGGTACCTCCAGATTGACAGATAAACTTAATAAATTATTCCAAACCAATCTCAAAGTAAATTTACAGTGCGTTTAAAATGTAAAAGAACAATGATTGTTTGTATGTTTCACACAAAGATACTCAACTTTAAAATCATACTCAAAAGTAACCTGTGAATCACAGGCTGTGATACATTAAGAACATCTCAGAAAAATAATCCGATGTAAATTACGGTAATATTATTTCCAACTACATAATTCTCTAACGATTAGCAACAACTAAAACTATTAAAACCACTAACAATCTTTCAAAGTCAAGCTAAACGACTCTGAAAAGTGATCTCGAAGGATCATACAAGCACTAGAAAAACTAGCAGAAAAATCGGCAACCAAGCCGATCATTACCGATCGTTCTTCATAGTCGAGTAAAGTTACGATACACGTTAACGGGAACCTCGGAACTGGCCGCTAATGATCCTTAGGTGCAATTAATCGGGACTTTACGAGGTGCCGCGATGAATCCTGCGAGATCGTGCAACGCGAAATGAAACAAGCCAGGAAGAAACTTGAAAACGTTTCGTGCACGCCAGAAATAAGCACGATATGTAATCAGTTAAGAGGCCGAGGTGTGTTCCGGAAAATATTGCTCTTTTTAATTGCATCTAATTAATAAGAGCCTGCAATTTCTATCTAAATTGCTTTTATATGTCTTCTCAGGCTGGTGTGATATTCGATCGCTAGTAGAATCCTTTTTTCTTTGTCCATATCGAACAGGGTTATACACTCGCACTTTGAATGATCGATTTCAAACCAGATTAAATTATCTTCAATTATTGATCATTTAGCACGAGAATTGCCGTAAAAAATGTAATCACGGATATGTAATTTATTACAAAACTTACGCAGATTTGTAATGAAATTTTATGTAACGTTTACTGTAACATGAAAATTACTATTTTTGTCAAATTATTACAGTTATTATTGAAAAGTACTGCAACATTAAACTCATTACTTTTTCTATAGTTCTGATAAAAGGAGGTATTGGACCGTCATTCATAATTCTAGTAGTAGACTCACTGTGATCATTCATAGTAGCATGTTCACACCATTAAATTGAAAAATTGAAACAGTTACAATTGAATAGACAATAATTTTCATTTAATTTTCTTGTGTCAACAACAAAAAAGTTAATGGCATAAATTTTTCTTTTGTTCCAATTTTTGTAAAATACCTTATAAACACGTAAATTTGTATTGTCATTCGTAGTCCACTCATCGTGTACGTGTGTAAACAGTTACTATCGTAACCAGTAAAACAGTAACTAATAGTATGAAGTAAAAAATTTCGTCAGTATATAAAATATTGAAAGTAGTTAAAATGAAATAGTAAATATCCTTATAAATGTGTCCATAAACGGCAATTAATATATAACAAATTATTTGTATGCATTCCATATGTAACTGTGAAAATTTGAATACATAATAAATATAATTAATATTTATCCAGATTAAACATAGAGTCCAATTATTCCTAACCAGAAAGAGTTTAATACCCCGACAATGGATTATTGTTTCCCAGAAATAGAGTAAAGTGACCTGATTGGGGGCCACTCCGCCGCATACCCTGCACCCTTCATCTTGAGGGCTGAAACGAAGGGATGGGGAAAATCCACCTGATTTTATGATTTGGTAATTCAACCGTGAAACTGTATCAGTCCCCAATATTTCCTTAAAAGCGCCTTGCTTCGTTTTCGTCTGCTCATTCCGACGGTGTTTATCGGAAATACAACTGTATTAGCACGTCTCTAAAGTCCCGACCGGGAAGCATTGTTTGTGTACATCGACGTTCAAGTTCGACGAGGAAAGTTTGATTTCTACAATGATTTCCTCTTCCGTCGAATCCGGCAAGAACACATCTCATGGGATCGAGGTAAATATTCCATTGATTCGATTTTAACTATTCACTTTAAACTACTCTCGCTGTAGCATTAGAACAATTACCTATAGTTTTCAATTGGAATTAAACATTAATTGATAGTTTAGTCATAATTGTTTATGAGAAGTATCGACGATTAATACATTATTTTCCTTAAATTTAATATATATATATTTGCGAAGAGGTTGTAACGAATGGTAACTATTGTTTTTTTAAAACTGTACGCCATTTTTATTAAGTCCAATGGCGGGATAATTGAATTTAAAATGTGTAGTCAAATGATAACAGTGTCACTTTTCGAATTTTTTATATCAGATTGAAACATTTCACAATTAATATTAATCTACTACACGTTGATTCTAGTTATTCAACTTAAAAAATTTAATTTAATTTAAATAGTTACATTGTGATTGTACATTAGTGCCTGTTTAATGACTTTTGAATGCTTTTGATGGGAGATATTTATGACTTAACGAAATAATTTTCACGAATAATAACTACTTAAATAAAAAGTTCAGAAATAGATTACAGATGTTACATATTTTTATTACACGTAAACGAACTATAGAGTGTAGGCTAAAAAAATTATCACTGTACCTGTCTTCCGAACTCTGAAAGTAAGAGAACTTTCCAAATAATAATTATGTCTTATTTGTTAGTCTTGTTTCCACAAAACAATTCTTACTTAAAAAATTCTCTTATTTTCACAGTTCTAGAACAACCTAAGTTGCTTCCTTCTAATAGTCTACCCTCTATACGTGAACACTTTAACATTATAATTAAAAAAATTCTAATTTCTACCATATTTACTGCCCCCTTAAATTATCCTGAACAGTTTAAATATGCATAAATATCTCACACGAGTGAAAATTATTTCAAGTAACTGGATCGTTCAACTCATTTAAATAAAATGTTTCCTAAACAGGAAATTTCTTATCTATTACAGAATACCAACATTTCGCCGACCAATATGGAATCCCGTTCTGTGGAGGAGCTGAAGGCTCGCGTGGCGGTCCGTTTCCTCGTGAAGAAGTCGAAACGGTTCGATTTATTGAAGCAACAGTTGCAACGCAAGCTGCAACAGACCCGAAAGGCGTACAAAACCGAGCCAACGCCGGAATGTTTGCTTTACTTGGGCTTGGAACCGAAAACAGTGAAAACACTGCACCGAGAAGAGCAGAAACATGAAAATTGTACGGATTTTCCGTTCCTGAAGCCGAGGGTCTACGAATGCGGTTACTGCACGAAGATATTCTTCCACAAAGCCCTTCACAGACGGCATATGATCCATCACCTGAAGAAAATTCACTGGTGCATGAAGTGCAGCCGGGGATTCACCTCGAAAATATCGAAAAGAAGGCACGAGCTGGCCTGCCGGCGTTGAACTCTTTTAAGGGAAATATTTTAGACGGAACTTCTCTACGTCTTCAGTCTCGGTGAAACTGTCGTCTTCCAGTGAATTATTAGTAGAAATTCTTTTACGCGATGTCCATATAAATTGTACAATTTGAAGTGGAGAGTTTACAGAGGCGTTGAATATCTTTAGAGTATCAATTGTATTTTATGACTGTGGTTAATAAGCAGCCTTATGTGAAATTAAACCTGCAATTACGCATGGTATTCTGTACAAATGTTAATTTTCTTAGGTATTAATATTGTGGTACTAGTAGTAATTCATAAGTTGCATATAAGTAGTCGTTACTCGAATTGTCGTTGAGGAATAATATTTTTAAGGATTAAAAAAAGTCTCGATTTTGAATGACGCCATCTTGCGTTTATATAGATTATTTTCTGTGCTAATTTTAATTGGTCTTTTTGACAATATTAGTGTTCTTCCATTAATAATCAATTTGTGTATATAAGGAGTTTGTATTTCGTACTTTAGGAGAAATTATAATAGCTTTCCCGTTTAAAACGGTCTCGAGTCTCTTAACGACGCCATCTGAACTTCGTCGGTCGCTTTATCTTTCGTTTCTTGAAAGAAATGCCCGGGTCCGGACTTTATCAGTTATCATTATTCGTTTGCTTTTCGTCTGAAATGACTCAACGCCATTTACGTGTCTCTTCCATGGTTCCTCTGATGCTTTTAGAACGCACTTAACTTACTTCCACTTTCGTGTTCTCAAATTGTAATGAAAAAAAAAAGAATATAGTACTATTCTTTGTTAAATTATAAAATTGATAACAATTTAGGTGTTGTGGTAGCTGTTAAATAAAATATAATACGTAAACGAACTAGATTTATCGAACTTATACATACATAAATAAATACAAAATTACTACTTTAGAGAATAATTAGAGATTTAAAAATAGAATATCGATTCACATTGATTGCCATTATGTGAAAGCGTGAATTATTTACATGTGTACATCGATGAATTAAATAAATCAAGATGCTAAAATTTTTAAGAGCACTTACAAGATATCAATTTTGTCCATATTGTTTATATTCAAGATCCAAGAATCCTACAATTTTGTATCATATGTATAAACCTTAAATACATATAACACACAGAACGTAGTATCACGTACAAAGTAAGATTCGATTCATACACCTTCGTAATTCATTGACTAATTATGTTAATTGTATGGTTATTAAATAATATGACCAAAACAGGAATCAAACGATTTAATAAAATATTTCACTGATTTGATACTGAATACAATATCGAGAATATCATTCATTCTTCTTTCACGTGATAATAATAATAAACTTTTGCAATACCTCTAATAACAATATATTTCCAATTCGTAAAACATTCTCTCATTCATATGTATGTATATAGTACATGTTCGTATAATAAAATGAAAAAATATATTTCATTATCATCATTCGATTAAGAGATTCTCCATTCACCCAGAGCAACTGCAACAAACACTTCTTTGCCCAATGCATAACAATTATCATTCGTGCCAAATATATCGATCACAGTTCTTCCAAACAATTGTCGATATAAAAAATTCTCAATCTTCAATTTTTTCATATTCGAAGGTGCCACTCGACATAATTTTAATCGACCATCTCAGTGTCTCATCGGACAGTAATTAATTTCTGTAATAAATACGTTCTGCCTCAGATACAATCTTTAAAATGAATGTATCCAGGTGGTGGACGGTGCCTTTAAATTATCGCAATATTTATTTTCGTCTGATACGTGACTTCTTATACAGTGTTTAACACTAAACCTACCACGACCAGTCAAATCATCGATTTTGCCGATATAATTCCTACCCTTTTCAAGGGTTTGGTAGGTTTAGTGTTAAGAATAGAATTTTTCCCATAATAAACACTATATTTTTATTCTACCAATAATAATCACACGTTCTTTTATTCCACGTTTTTTGTAATATACACGTTCTTCCACTTCTGCCCAACTGCAATGTATAGTACCGGTCAAAATTACAACTTGACCGTAATAATTCCTTGAAGACCATGAAGGGGTAGGGATTTTACTAAGATTATTGATACTTAAAAAAAATAACATTTAAGGAAATCCGTACTCTTCGTTAATTAATACAGAAATTGTTAAAGAAATTAAACGTCAAATAATTATTGCGTTCAATTTGTAATAGTTTTGTTTGGTACTGTATCCATTAATATCAATATCTCTCCAGATTCATTATAAAGCGTAAAATTAACGAAACACCCTATACAAATCAATCTTCATATATATGCTAAAATATCATCGAAAGAAGTCTCACCAATAATTTCAATACTACCCTCAGGCTATAAAAGGATTCGATCCTTCTCGAAGTTCATAACCACAAGAAATTTTTTACAAAAGTTATCCTTGAATGTTTAATTAATATGACACGATGTCACTGGGCTTCGATTAATACCTGTCGTCTCCGCGAGCACGGATGAAAGTATTCGAAATGTCTCCGAAGCGTGTTAACGGTGTACGACCTCGTTTTGCAATACGGGCAACGCAATTGTTGCTTCGCGTGGCAGACTTGGTGGTTGCGACTCACTGACCGACTGTAGAATCGTTTCAAACAGTAAATGCACGTGTACACTTTCGGAACAGCGAACAACACATCCTTCACCTGGTCCCGTTCGTTTTTCCTGTAAATCGGTCGATCGTCCAAATTTTTCTTCTTGCGATCGTCGTTCGTCGATCGAGGAACGTCGAAGAAACTCAGACACGTCTCCTCGAGACTACAATCCTCCAAGTGCGACAATGCGGAGGCATCGTCGAATAACGCCAGTAGCTGTAAAATGTTTCGTTCAAGGTTCAAATTACGCATGATTCACGGGCTTGTTTCGTTTTATCCTGATTAAGTTCCCATGAATGTTTTTTGTTTTAATTCGTATTTGTGCTATCTGTTGTTAGATCGTTAGTGACTTGTTAATTGATAGAACGGTTTTTAAGTCGTTTTATAAAGAATACTATATTTTCAAAGAGATTTTTATTTTACGTATAATGATCAGAGAGTTAACTTTGACATACTGGTGCATGAATAATATGTAAGATTTAATTAAAAATAACTTTCATTTACGTTCTATCGATTTTTACTTATTGAGGATACTTTATATTTAATATTCCTCTATTGCATAGTCCCTATTATAATTGAACTTAGTACGTGTTATTCAGCTGATTTTTGTATTACTTTTTTAGTTAACAAACTTTAGTATTTCTAGTAAGCATAATGTTTATGTACAGATATAATATTAAATTTTCATGTAATGTAAGGTAACTGAATTTATTGAAAATGATAATTTCGCAAGTCTGTAGAGATATACTTTCCCGTCATACATTAATAATTTTACATTCTTACAAATATTTAAAAACGATTTATGTAAACTCTTTTCTAACGTGGAATTCTTAGTGACAAATCAGAGTATTTATATTTTACTATAAATAGAGCCTTACAACATATCATGACATGTAATTGTCATTTCTCATACATGATATTCTAAATACAATTGCCAAAAAATTGTTCATTAAGTAAATTATATCCATATTTTAAGTGATTAATTGAAGCATAAAAAATGGTAAATTTTTTACACTCTGACAGATTTTCATTTCGGAATACTCAATTACCACAATAAGTGAAACATCCTGACAATAGATTTTCGTAGCATTTTAAATGTTAGTGTATTAAATACTGTTACATACCTCATAATCGACAATGTATTTTTTTGCGTTGTCCAGATTCGCCATGATTATAGAGATTGATTGGCGAACAGTAAAACAATTACGAAATGCTTGTAACAGACGAAACTTGGAAAGTACGTGGCTGTATCGGTACTATTCTCTACGCGGACAATCGGAAAATGACAAGCCTTAACAAAGGTCTCATTTGCTGTTTACGTCTCAGAACTTGAACTACCCCTGTTTATGATGGTGGGGGTATCTCATTATACCTGACAAACTTGAAGAAAAATAACTTGGGATTGGCTGAACCATTTTTGGGTGGGGAAAACTGTCGGTTACTGGGGTTAGTGGAATTATATAAATACGAATTTCCTATTATTCGAACGAAATTGTCACCGTGCCCATTTTTTTTCGGTAATTTTATTACATTTGCCTTTGAGTCAACGCAACTGTACCAGAGTGTAGCAGTTTCTTGCACTTTGTAATAATGTACGTTATTCATAGACATCTATCGTTTATAAAAATTTATATTTCAGTGTATAATGTAATAATAATTTTTATGTTACTTCTGTAAATGTATAATAATCCCCAGTCTAATAATTACTTTTTCACTTTTGATTTCGAATGATCCGATTATATATAAAAATGTCGAATGTGTTTTGAGATTACATAGAAAATGTCCATTGCTTTATAATATGTCACATTTGTAAATTCTTTTCATTTTAACAATTAAATTTTTAGTTAATTCCCAATCAATTCCTTTCATCTTTCACTAGATACCTAATTTAATTGAAGTTGCTGTGATACTATTTATCGATAAATAAACATTATCCAATTAATTTATGTTTTTTTTGCGAAATACACTGTAGTGACTTTCAAAGTAAAAAACTATTCGACGTGTGCATTTATCAATCCTACACTCCGGAGCACGCCGTAAAATCAACAGATAATCAAGCAAAAGGACAGAGACCCAACGGCGACGATCATTTCTTCCTGACGCGTACATCTGCATATTACGCCCATATATTTGCTGATATTTTAAATCGCGGCGCGCATCCTATTACGGTGTTGACAGATTTGCACCAAGCAGCCGACGCGATCTTCCAGCAGCAAAGGGGGCATCGATTGCAACGAAAAAGACGAAAAAAAATCGTCAAGACACCGTCGATCAACTCTTCGTCTCACTCGTTCGTGTTTTATCAACGTTCTAACGTGATGCGGGTGATTAACGAGGACATTCCTGAAAATCGCATCAGATTTCTGCGTTGTACACACAGAATCAATATTAAAAATTATCCTCCACCTTC